TTTTAGACAGTTTTGTTTGCAAGCATATGTAAGAGGGACGGACTCACGTTATTTTAGCCCTAAAATTTTTGTATGATTGTGTTATTGAAATGAAATTTTTTGAATTTGAAAATTTAGGGTTTTCTACATAAAAAGGTACTCTTATTGAATATCGATAAATTGTGCCATTATTGAATAAAATCAAACTAAAAAATTTGTCGACCTATGTTTATATAAACTTTACTTCCTATTTTAAGCTCTAGAAACCGCCGGTAGAATATTGAGCACTTTTTTCGGGGCACCCTGTATAGAAAGGGAGGGTGCTATTTAGTTCGACGAGGCCTTCACACTAACAAAAAACTGACGGTTAATAAAAATCGACGAACCCAAATAGCAGCAAATCACCACTGCGTTACATCGCCTTTTCGACTAATTTCTGCTTCGATGCGTCTTGACATAGTGTTAACTAATGTTTGGCAGTCACCTGGTGTAAAACTGCTCCAAATTTCGTGGAAATGGGCTCACAATTCTGGAACGGCTCTTGCAGGATTCGATCGGCTATTTATTCATGACATGCCCCAAGGTTTCATTCGGCGATAGATTTGGACTACTCCATTTTAATACTGAAATATTGTTTTATAACATACAATCGTTTACTTTTTAACCCTACGCCAAGAGGCACCATCTTGTTGGAAGATACGTTCAATATTGATTAACCGCATTTGTTCAATTTGGGGTATCAAGTTATTTTGAAGCACATGTACTTATCAGCATTCATATCGTAGGATATCGTAGACAGTTTTGCTGTTTTCTTCTCATCAGTTTTCATACACTCTAATCCACAAAGGAACTTATCTTCAACAACTAAATCCAATAGACAATTTCTCTCAATTGTATAAGTGAAGATGATGTTATCATGGCTTCGAAAAGATTAAAGAACAAAATGACATCTAGATGGCTTAGCCGTTGGTTTAAATATTTAACCTAATTCTTAGATTAGGGACATACCCAGATATCTGGAAGACCACTAAAATATGTCCCATTCATAAGAGTGGTGATATCGCAGATGTTTCCAACAACCGACAAATAGCAATTCTATGCAACTTCGGTAAGTTGTTTGAGATCATAGTTTATAATACGGTTTAATAGGTCGATCAAGGGTGCAATCTCTCTCAATCAGCATGGATTCATGAACGGCAGATCTACGGTTATCAACTTGACCCTGATTACTCAATATATCTCCCAAGTACTGGACGGTCAGGGACAAGTTGATGTCATCTACACAGATATTCAGAAGGCGTTTGATCAAGTTGATCATTATGCACTTCTGGATAAGCTTAAAACAGTGGGTATGTCTGATGCAATGCTGTCGCTCATGAATTCCTTTTTTGATTGATAGAAGGTTATTTGTCGAATATGGTGGTCGAGTTACTATCGGGCCACGTCCGGGGTACCTCAAGGGTCAAATCTAGGTCCATTATTGTTTTTGATATTTATTAATGACTTGTCTTTTGAACTGAATTGTTTCCATTTGTTTTTCGCTGATGACCTTAACATCTGCACGTCAGTCAAGACAGTCGAGGATTGCGTCATGTTGCAAGATGACTTAGCTCTAATTTCGTCATGGTGTTCACGAAACTGTCTCAGTCTGAATGTTTCGAAATGTAAAGTTATGACTTATACAAGAAAGGTTAACTATTTAATTTATGATAATTATAACATCAATGGTCAGGTTATAGACAGATGCACCTCTTATAGAGACCTTGGAGTCACTTTTGATACCAAGCTAACGTTTACTGAGCATATACTCAATATCTCGTCGGCTGCCACTCGACTACTTGGTTTCTGTATCAGAAACTGGAAGGGTTTCTTCAATGTTGATACATTAATGACTTTATTTTTTACTTTTGTCAGGAGCAAGTTGGAGTATGCGACTCTGGTCTGGTCTCCTATATAGCAAAATTCTGTCGTGATGCTTGAGGCCATTCAACGTAAAGCTTTAAAGTATTTTCACCTTAAAGGCACAGGTTCTTATCCGGAAAGAGGTTGTGTATGGCCTCATTCACAATAAAATTGACTGTCAAAATTTATTTGAATATGTTTCCGCGTTCCAAGGCTAGGGAGTCGACAACAAACGGCATTCTATTGTCAAACTGGCCGTACAAATGTTATGACAAAATCGCCAATTAATCTCATGTTCTGCGTCATGAACAGTGTTACTGAATCGTGTGATATTTACAGTGACAGTTGTGCATCGATTATTAACTGCTATAGATCATCCAATCTTATTTAGAATCTGTGATACTATAGATTTAAGTCCAAGAACCATGTCTCTTTAATTGTTATTTTTTCAGCATTTCCTGTAATTGGGTTTCACCTATTGGAAATAAAATAAAATAAATAAAAATAAAACAATATTTCCTCGGCGTGGAAAGTAAATAGAGGTAAGAGTAAAAACTGTTCGTAACCAACATGTCACTGCAATAAAGCTCATCCGCACTGTCTCTGCCCTGGCTTTGAACACCGACCAACAGGTAGTATCTGTAAGTTAATTACTGAACTGCTCCGAGTAGCACAACGAAGCATCATCGTTAGCCGGCATAACCATCAACAATTAGAATCAGCACCTGTTTCCCTGAATTCCACGGTAACTGCTATGAATGAGAGAGCGCCGCCGTGTGTTTCGCGATCGTCTCTTGTTTAGAGGTTAGTCACACTTAGAAAGCAGCCGCTGTCGCTGCGACGCTCGCGACGCCTGGCCGTGCCGCGCTTTGCTGTCAAACCTCCCGTTGAGAAAACAACCATAGAAAGCGACAACAATGATATTTCGTTCGGCCGAAGTTATTTAGATTGATTTTTCTCTGCCGGTGAATGTTTTGGGTGCGATGCAGGACTATTGTTGGAAACAGAGGCGTAGAAAAAGAAAATAACAAAAATCATTTTGTCGAAAGACGACGTCGCTTCCCAACTAACAATTATCACTCCTATTAGAGTAGCAAGAATGATTATACAGTATTCCTTACACAGCATTGTATACTGTAAGAACATTGGTAAAACCCTCTTAGAACAGCTATACAAGCGGAATGGGCGCACCTAATAGGACACTTCAGTCATTTAAGAGGTTGTATAAGGGCTGCAGGTAACAGTTATACAACAAAAGTGTAAGCCTCTTGCAGCCGCTATAGGACATTTGCGTAAGTGCAAGATTCAGTTTTTGTCAACTATACAACTATTCTGTTACGTGATTCTACTTTATTGCAACCAAACTATTTCTTATGTATTGTATAAAGGAAGTGAAGAATATATAACTAACACATTACAGTCATCTTGTTTACTTACATATCGGCCATTGTGAATTTCATACACAGGTATATGATAAAATTTTACACTGTGATATAGGGCTATTAAATTACTTGCGCAGCAAATTTTATTGTGATTATCTTGCAAAGCAGTTACGCAATTTCTACGGGCTTCGTATTTGATTCATATTTTGATAATGATCAAAAGTATGCCTAGATTTTTAAGATGGAAAACTGAACTTATCTGTGTTAAATCTTCCACAAATCCTATATTTAGTCACAATTACACTAGGGGAAAAGTAGGTAATATGCCCCAGTTGACAAAATGCCCCACTAGCGTTTCACTGAAACAAGCACACTTTTTCGGCACAATGCGGCATCCGCGCATCGAAGAAAGTCTGCCGGCAACATGGTTTATGTTCCTACACGCGTACTGTAGCTTGTTAAAAAAATATTGCAAAGGATAGTTTTTCAGTGGTCGGACAATTTGTGGTAAGTTCCAAACAAATTTATATATCGTTAATACTATTTGTTTTATTCCAAACTTATATGCACCATGTTAAAACATATAAAATTGGCTTCATGCTCTGTGTGTGTCAAACAACATAACCTAAAATTCCTTTCTTGCATCAGAGTGGGGCGTTTTAGACACCATATTTTACAATATGCCCCATTGTATGGTTTATAATTCGCCCCACCATTAAAACCGCAAATATTATTCATGGTTCTTATGTTTTCCAGAATATGTCACGAAAATATGAACGGAAGTCACTACGAGCGTCATGGGCAGCTGAAGATTTGGAAGAGGCGATGCAGCAAGTCCGGGGAAAAATTATGGGCATTAATGAGGCTTCCAGACGTTTTGGAATACCATCCAGAACATTGAGAAGACACCTTATAACGGGAAAATCAAAGGTCCCCTTTGGCCGCAACCCTGTATTTTCAGTTGAATATGAAAGAAAACTTGTAGCACATATACAAAAATTGGAAAAAGTTGGTTTTGCACCAGACAGAAATGATGTGAGGGAAATGGCTTTCCAGTTAGCAAAAAAACTTGACATCAAACATACATTTTCTGAAAGGTCGGGATCAGCTGGTAGGGTGTGGTTTACTGGATTTATGAAAAGAAATCCAGAACTAACTCAAAGAAAATCAGAAGGCTTATCACTTGCACGAGCATATGGAGTAAACAGAAAAGACATTCAATATTTTTATGACCTTTTGGCCAAAATTTACGAAGAAAATGACTTTGCATCTCATCCTGAAGATATATATAACATGGATGAGACAGGGATTCAGGTTAATAACAAGCCAGGAAAAGTAGTGGCAACAAAAGGGGTCAAAGATGTATATACTCTCACAAGTTATGAAAAAGGTGAAAATGTGACAGTTATAGCATGTTGCAATGCCTCCTACATTAATATATAAGGGAACTTACACTAAGCCCCAGTTTTCTGAAGGGCTTCCACCAGGATCACGGGTCTTTATGAATAAAAAATCATCCTATATTAACTCGGACTTGTTCATGCAGTGGTTTGAAGAAGTATTTTTACGACACAAAAGTGCTCGAACGACTTTATCAATATTAGATGGTCACAGTTCGCATAGTAACAATATTCGGGTACTAGAAGTAGCCAAAGAAAATAATGTGATACTGTTATGCCTACCAAGCCACACAACGTACTTCAGCCTCTTGACAAGGCCTTTTTTAGGCCACTCAAAATGTTTTTTGCACAAGAAGCTAAATCTTGGATGGTACAAAATAGAGAAAAGAAGTTGACGCGCTATGATGTCTCAAAACTGATTGGCAAGGCTTGGGGTAAGGCCGCCACTGTATCCAATGGTGTTTCAGCGTTGAAGTGCTGCGGTATCTATCCATTTGATCCCCATGCTGTTGCAGACTATCATTTCTCATTATCAGATTCGCTACAAGAGCAAAATTTAGTTGACATTGACGAAGTCAACAATCAAAGTACAAGAAGTACTGATGAGAGTCTTACAGGAAATACTGCACCAGCAACTGAGATTCTGTCACAGCCAGGAACGTCAGGTCTCCACCGCACTCCAGTCTCCCTACATGATGACGAATCTGTGAATACGCCGCAAAAGCACCCACAAAATGATGCATCCCAACAAGTAGGCATTTGTGATAAAACGCCTGAAGAAGCCATTCCATCTTCTGATGTAAAAGACAAAGAGACGCCTTCCAAAGTTCTAAGTCAAATACATCCAGTGCCCAAACTACCAAAAAAATCTGTCCAAAAGGAAACAAACAGCAATCATTCTCACTTCGCCGGAAAATATTGAGAAAAGAACATTACTGGCAAATAAAAGAAAGATTAAAGCTGAAGCTGAGAGTAATAAACTCAAGAAGGCTAAAACAAAAGTGACTAATACGAAGAAAAGGGATGACCTTAATAGAGTAAAAGGTAAAAAGGTGTTAAAGAAGAAGCCAAAGAAGAATGCGTGGGATTCATCGTCTTCAGATAGCAATGATGAAAATATGGAGACGTTTGAGGAGTCGGAAGAAGAGCTATCTGATGAGGATCCAAACAGATGTGACGAATGTACTGAAAACTATTACCAAACACAATATTCAGAGGATTGGATCCAATGTCCCACTTGTTCAGCATGGCTGCATGAATTTTGTACAATGTATGCTCCTCTGTGTAATCGTTGTGGACGAAAAGCTAAAAGGGCATCTATCCAGAAATGAGTTCCATTCATGCGTATAAACATTATATACCTATGTATTATATTTCAAAGATTCATTTTATCACTTCATCAAACACTAATAGTGTCGAATTATCATTTCATTTTTGTTTGTACAAAAGTAATATTCTAGTTTTATTTCATCAGAAGTGCTGTATCTTACTCTGATATTCATTAAAGTTATTTGAATGTGCATTTTTTCAATTATTGCTTATATCTTCAAATTAATATAATATTGAAGGTAGTGGGGCATTTTGCAACTCGTGCGAGGCGTATTACCTGAGGGTCAGTTGACAAAATGCCCCACTCAAGGTTCTGGAAAATATGCAATTAATATCTGTCTAAACGATTTAGATCAATGTAACATCTGTCTTTACGTTGTAAAAGAGCCAAGCTATGCCCCTGATTAAGATCTTGCCGATATCTTCAAATGTTTTCTTTCAATAGGCCCTTGAAAAAAAGTGGGGCGTATTACCTACTCTTCCCCTAATGTTTATCACTTTATATCTGTAATTTCGAACTGAAACATAATTATTTAATATTAAATAGAGGAATACATGTTTGCCCAATATGGCGGGTGGTTGTGCATAATCATGGCATCGTCCATGTTGTCTTTAGTTTATTAGAATATTTTGGTGTTGCCTGCAGGTGTTATACAACAATTTGACAAATGTCAGAAATGAAATACAGACAGTGTCGAATGATTTACCCAGAATTTGTACCAGATCTATATCTTCTGTTTGAACAGTTGATAAAACAGAAAAGGCGCTTCTAAAAATCAACAGAAATAAAAAAATACAAGTATATGTTGCCACTCATTTATAGGGCAGCCTGTATAGCTAAAAATAGTTTTGAGTTGTAGTCCTTAGCTCTCCCTACAGTTTTTGTATTTAACTTTTTTCTGCAATTCTATTAGTAATGAAGATATTGAGGCTTGATATTTGGACATCTTGTATATTGACATCCTTCCCGCTCCACCCCTCCGCTCACCGCGGAGACCATAGGTAACGACGATGAGTCACTGCCATCAATTCTGATCTTCGGGTATACCTCGTAAGTTCAAATTTGATACAAAACTTAAAGTTCTAATGCGACTTCCATAACCACTCATCACTAGTCCGTCTCTTGATTCTATTATCTGGAGATGTCAACGGTCACACAGACACAAAACCCAACGTTGCTTGAGTGTGGTGAATGTGCACTCGATATTTTTAGCTTGCAACTGCCATATTTTTCATATACATAAATAACCCTACCTCAGTTATACTAGTTTTGATTTTTGAGCAATAATTCGTAAATGCTGACAAGTTAATAACGAATAAACGTCTTAATATGTTTGAGAACACTGAAGTTATTAACAAAAAAGAAAATATGCAATCATTACTAGGTGCAAACGGCGTAGACAGTTTTTTCGAGGTCATGATTCCCAAGGATTATTATGCCTTGTCTTCGTACTTTCTTCATTTCTCTTATCACTAACTTTATCACGTAGGGATATTTGAATATTTTGGGATTCCGGTATCTTATTTTTGTTGGCCTGAAAATCTCTTTGCCTATATAGATACTAATGTCTATCCAATCTGTCAGCACCTAGTCTGAACTTCAGTAAGGAGAGACCCCAACTCCCCCCCTCCTGAGACGGATTTTTTTTATTAAGGGGGTGCTTGATTTTCTCAGAGGTCCGTGGGTAAAAAAAGTTGACATACGGCATTATAAAGACATTAAAAGTTAAAGATAGATAGATTTAGGTATTTAAACCAGTTCATGTATAAACACTGGCATGTCAATATCGGTTTAGTTGTAAATAAACAAAGATGCTTAAATAAAGAGGTATATGATACTCTGTATAAATATAGGTACATATGAGCGGTAAAATACGAAATTTACACAACAGATATTGAAAACAATCAAATAATAAAATTATAAAGGACATTGGATAAAAATCACAACAATTTTGGCATAAAATAAATGACATTACTTAATCAAAAAAATTCTTCGATACTATAGGGAGCTATTTTATTTGAATGGTATTTCAATTGCCTTATGGAAGCACTCACTTGCACCTCAGTCACACCTTTAGGTAGCGAGTTATAAAGTTTTATTCTAAGGTTTTTAGATTTTTCAATACAGTGTCGTGGAATTATTCTATTTTTTTCTCTAGTACCATGATTGTGTATATCACACTGTAGATCGTATTTACCTTTATTTTGTTTGATTCAAGGCCACCAATCTTCAAAAGATGCTCCAACATGAGTCATCATGTTTGGCATGGAAACGGATATATCTCTTGATAGGCACGAACATTTTTTTCCATTTACCTTCGCCAAGTAATAAGTACTAGCAGCATATCAGTCTGTTCGTCAAAGAATATTCCATATTCACAAGAAAACCAAGCAACAACATCTTAACCAAAAATAACCGAAAACGTTAATTTTAGATTTATGAAGAACAAAGAACAAATTAACAATCAAAAATAAACTCAAACATTACCTACTAGTTTCAATTTAATGAAGCTTGTTGTCAAAAATAATCTGTCATTGACAGCATCCCACACTTCCGTCAACCAAGCGCCTTTAAACACTTGATGTAATAAGAAATTTTTTTAGCAGCCAGATCCGAAAAACTATGCGAGACGACCTGTTTTTATAACAGACAAAAAAGTAGTAAACAAAAGGATCATTTAATTAAAAAAATTAAGAATCGTCCGGAGAGGTGCAAAAAAATTATGCTAATTTATTTTATTTATTTATTTTATTTTATTTTATTTTATTCATTACAACACCCTACAGTAAATACCAATTACAGGGTGAGGAAACACAGATATAAAAGACAATAATAAGTAATAAGTAATAGACTACAAAGTGTAAAAGATACATGCTGGTTACTTAATAGTATTTTTTATGTCTGCAATTCTGCAGTTAAATATATCAATCCTGTTACTTGCAGAATTGTAATTCCTACACATCACATGTAGGGGTAAGGATAATTTCCGCCCTTCTCGAACCCTTTCGGACTTTTAATAAAAGTCAAATATTAGTACGTCTAGCGAAACGAATGTGCTCCAAATGTCACTCAAATCGGACTATCGGTTCCACAAGTATCTGAAAAAATATGTTTTAAAAATAAACTTTGACGCCTCTCTAACAAACGAAGCTCTTTTTCATGTCCAATCAACTAATTTTGAGTATAAAAATTCGTGGTACTCTTATGTTAGCGAAATATTGTGACCTCCGTATATTGGATTTAAATCCTTTTCAATGTTCTATTTAAGGTAATTTAACCAAAAATGATTTCCTCTGACGAGTCGCCACTGGCAAAATTTAGATCGCCCAAACCTGATAATGTCAATTCAGGTGACATTTTGACTGCACGAAAGTCGCGTGGGTCAGATTAAAAGAGTATTAATAATAAGAATAACATACATTGTTTCTATCGTAGATAATACTATAAATTAACATTTTTTTAATGCAGGTGTGCGTTGTCGATCAGGTAACAAAAAGTTGTTACGTAAGTGTTATAGTTACCAGATAAATTGTTTGTTTGTCTAATTAAACAAGGCATTTGTACTGATAAATGGACACGAGCAGTTAATATATTATTTTGTACAGTAGCCTATTGTAAAAAATTATAAAGCCGGTATTTCTTAAGGATAATTAGGAGAACTACAACACGCTGTGTATTCACGATAGTTCGTAAATAAATCAAGGCTGGTGACTTATGCAGACCATTCACCTGCCATCAACACATCGACACTGCATTCGATTCCTCTAGCGAGCTTCTGCCTCCGTTGCCTGCAATCGTTGGCTTATTTTGTGACCTCAAAATGGCCGCTTTAAGAACTATCTACTTCCCGTGACTACTAGCGAGGAAGTATCGTAATCGCGAAAAAAAATCAAAATGAGATAATACGTTTTTTTGGAAATTATACTAAGTGACATATAAATCCGAACACCCAGTTTAAATGGTTTTATTTTAATAAAATTTTGTATAAGTACTTAATGAAGCATAATAAGTAAATGATAAAAATTTCAAAATGATTGCACTGCTTTAAAGCCCTAATGTGTGGATGCACCCTGATGTGCTACGCATTCTCCAAAGCGCCTAGGCATGCTTCTGATCAGGTGGTCAATGTCCTCCTGTGGTATCTCATTCTAGGCAACCACCAACTCCTCTCGAAGTGCTTCTAGAGTCTGAGGAGGACGTTGCAAATTGAGCAATCTCCTACCCATCATATCCCACACGTGCTCAATTGGGGATAAGTCGGGAGATCTTGGTGGCCATGGTAACAATGTGACATAATTATGTTGAAAGAAGTCTATTGTGACTCTTGCAACATGTGGTCGGGCATTATCTTGTTGGAAAGTTGGATCTGCCAGGGTGTCAAGATAGGGTAAAAGATAGGGTTCTAGAACTTCGTGGATATAACGCTGCGCGTCCATGTTACCTCTGAAGAAGATTAAAGGTGACCTGGAACCATAAGCTATAGCACCCCAAACCATAACTCCAACAGTGTGATGAACATGTCTTTCAACAAAAAACTGTGGATTCCTCCTTTCACCACGTCGCCTTCTAACCCCGGCACGACCATCGTGCATGCCTAAACAAAATCGAGACTCGTCACTAAAGACAATTCTGTTCCATTCCTGATCCCAGAGTGACCGTTGTCTGCACCACTCAAGGCGATTACGTCGGTGTTCTCGAGTTAAAGGGAGGACCCAGTGTGGCCGGTATGAAAACAAGCCAAAACTTCCCATTCGTCGGTAAACACTTCGCATGCCAATAGGTCTTCCGCGTTCTGCAAACCATTCATTTGCAATGGACCTGGTAGTGGAGAAACGGTCCCTTAAGGCCAATAATCTTAGGTGGCGATCTTCACGGTCTGTTGTTCTACGGCGGCGTCCAGTGCCCCTTGCTCTTTGCGTACGGCCTTCTCGAAGCCATGC